ATGTTCAGTGGAGGAAAGAGTGAACAAATGAGCAGAAAACCAAATATTTGAGATACACATAGTTAAAGGAGAGCATAAGTTGATGAAGGAAGCAGGGGAAAAAAAAATATATATATATATATATTATCTTCCAGGGCAGTGATAATAGCTAGCAACTTCTCAGCTTTACCCTGAGTATGAATCACAGGGACATCTTGGGGTGCAGCAGAGACCCAGCCTTTCCAACAAGCTCTCAGAGCTTGAGGTTCCACCAGGGAGCATACTTTAAATGATAAGGCTGTAGGGGACTGTTCTACATACGCATGCCCCTGCTAATAACAGATGTATGTGAGAATGCCTGTAGCTCAGCCCTAACTCATATTCTGCGAATTAAAATAAAACAAAACACTGTAGTTTCAATGGATGCAAATGGAGAAGAAAGCCCATAAATTCAAATGATAGAGGAATAAACAAGTTTATATAACTTCCAATCTAGAGAACTCATTTCTAAGGCTCTAGTTCATTAAGAAATTGGGTTCCATGATGGTTATATTACTCACCTCTAATGTTATTTTAGGTAGCTGTAATCATTCACACGTCTCAGCATGCCACTCAACTGCTCACTTATAAGTACCTGTCATTTGCCTCTTGGGAGTCATACATATCATTTACTTTTTCAGACCCCTTCTCTCCTAAGTAATTTTTATTGAATTGCTATTAACCTTTGCCAGGGTCAATTGTTATTTTCCTTTGGCTTTCTTACTCATTTTCTTTTAATCTCGTTTGGATTCTCTGTTCTCCATTCACATGTAATTCTGAGATTGTTCATTAGTTTTGTGAAATTGTGAGAAGAAAGGAAGTAAGTATGTGACAGGAAGCACACACAGCAAGGGCCAAGAGTTGTGAGGACAGATTTAATTAACACTCTAAAGGGGAGAATGATATTCTACATTTTAACTTACTGAGGATAGAAAAACAAGACCTTCTCTAAGAAGACCACCAACTAAGAAGCTAACACTACTAAGATATGAAATTAGGAACTTCTTCATGATTTTGACTCTTAAAAGATAAGCCTACCTTACAGATGAGAGATGGAATAACAAACTTACCTGACAAGGAAAGTGATTACATTTCCACAGATACCCAGATGAGTCCATATGGGGAACTGTTTTGTCAGGCTTATTTTACTAGCACAGATATAAGGTCCAAAAAACAGTAGATATTAAATGCTTAATAGAACATTGAAGTAAAAAATATAAGCACTTCTAAAAGGTGACTGTTTCCACAGAGTTGGCAAACATACAACAAATGCAATGAAAATTCAATTGCCTCCTCCTAAGAATTCTTTTAGGCTAAAAAGTCTAAAGTCTGAAGTGGCACACAGGACTTTTCCTGATATGATCTCTGCAACCTCTGACCTTAACCTTACTTTACACACCGCCTTGGTGTCCAGGCCTGACAAACCATTTGTAGTTCTTCAGATACTTGTATTGTTTACTCCTCCATGGCACACATGTCTGAAATATCCTTCCTTTTCTTATCTGACTGGTCAATTTCTACTCTTTCTTCAAGATACGCTTTGAAAACCAGTACTTTCATGGTGCTTTCTTCAAGGACCTGAAGAAAAATCAAATACTTTCTTTCACCCTGTTCTATAGCATCTCACATATGTAATTACCTGAGTCCTTACAACAGTGCCATAATTATTACACGTTGGTCTCAGTATTTTTTTTATTTATTTTATTTCTGTCAGTATTTCTAGAACCCTGAAAACATATTAACTCATTCATTGCTCATTGAATGCCCACCAAGGACTTTAATAAATATTTGCAAAAATTTATTATTACTAATCATTAATTTGAGATTAACTTTTGAATTTATGATTCCCTACTCTTATTTCCTTGTTTCTTGGCTCCTAAAGGGCATAAGTCTCCAAGGATACCTCACTGAAAGAGGCCCTTATAGTTTCACCGCTGGACTACAACCTTTTAAAACCACTACTTCTTTGCATTCAGTTTGTCCCCATCGCCAATCCTATGTATAATTCTAAAGATAAACTTTCTTAGTACCTATCCCTATCTAAAATGGTTTAGCAATCCTTGTTTGACTATTGATGAAATGTTAACTCAATATTTCATTGCAAGCCCCTCCCCATATCTTATCCTGCACATCTCTTTATTCTGAGCGTAGGTATTTTCTTCAACAAACAGGTGGCTTGCAGTGAGAAATCCCTCTTTGCAGATAGCCAGCAGCACTCAACTTGCATTCCACTTCCTTGACAAAGTCTGCTAATATTCTGGCTCATTTAGCAAGGACTTCCCCATTTAGAATCATTTTCTCAGGTACAACTTGCATAAAATTTTTAAAATCTCCCTCCTTTCAATACTATCTCAAGGATTAGGAAAAGGGTATAATTTTTTGTGTGTTTCTCTCCCCTCTCTAATTTTGCACTTTGCTAAATATAATGTATACATTAAAACGATTGTTGATTGACAAATACTCTCTACCACATTTTGTTACTTTATTTTGGCACACAACACTATACCTTGTATATAATGATCTTGCTTTCTAATCATTGTGTTTTGTTTGTTTTTTGTTTTTATGTACTCATTCCAACCTATGGGTTATAAAAGTGTTAAGAGGAGAAATGGATTCCTACATGGAAAGTCACTGTCATGTAGCAGGAAATGCATTGAACTGGGAGAAAACTCAGGTCTGAATTCTGCTACTTGAATGGTTTCCTGGAATGTTATCTTTTATTACCATCGTTTCTCCATCTGTGAAACAAAAACAAAATCCTCAAGAGTGTTCTGAGAATTAAATGAGATACTATGTGTGAAAATATTCTGCAAATTTTAATATGCTGTACAATATAAGGTATTTCTTCTTATGTCTTCAAGATTATTTTATGGATAGCATATGTGCATAGAGCAGTCAGTCAGAAAAGGCTCTCTGAGTCTTGGGTCAAAGTAGGTGGGTCATATTTCCTTCAGTTTTTAAAGCGTTAGCTACAAAATCCTATTCCTTTGCTTTTTTGTTTCTCTTTCCTATACATATTATGACAGTCCAATGCAATTTTTGGCCAAAAGTTTTTCAATGTTTTTTTCATTTGCTTACCAAATATGACCTCTTGCAGTTTTACTTCTTCTTTACTAACTCATCCATGAAATTTGCCTTGTCAGTTCTGTCTTCCATCTTACCGAGGTAGCTGTCATACCTGGGAGCAGCCTGTATTCTCAACCTCGCCTGCATTTCTTTCCCGTGGGCTCCTCTTCCCCTCTGCTGGCTGCCAAGGAGAAGCACATTTATTGGCATGGCCCCCAAACAGATGCCTACCTGCTTCCCTTCCCCCTTTCTCTTTCAGCCAAAGCATCACCTGCCAGGGGCTGGCGGTTGCTGCCCCCGCTGTCCACTGCCTCACACTGCTGCTGCTGCTCCAGTCCTTTTTGGCAGCCTCTTCTGAAGTTCCCCTGCCCGCAGCTCTCCTGTGCTGCTTGCCAGCAGCCTCCTCCTCCTGCCTGCAGCTCTCCTCGCTCCCGCCAGCGTCTCCCCCGCTCGGTCTGCGCGCAGCCTCTTCCTCCCGCCCTTGCCAGCTGCTTTACTCGCCTTTCCTCAGGCTGCTCCCCCTCCTTTCTTCCCCAGCCCTTCCCCTTGCTCTTGCAAGCAGGGTTTCTTTCCAGCGTCCCCACCCTCCTTGGCCCGGTGTTTTGTTAACGTCCGGGACCACCTCTTTTGGGTCCCAGTGTGTATGTACGTCCAGCCGATAGGACATTTTTGGAAAGTGAGTATTTTCTTCCCGCTTCTGTATTTGACTAGACACCAACCCCCAAACCCCGTGCCTACTCCCTTAGCCCGAAAAGGTGGGGTGTAGTGATGGTAGAAGAAATTCAGGGAAACAACAGGCCACAGGCTCGGTCTGTGGACCCCAATAAAGTTTTGGACGCTCGGGACTTGCCTTCTCAGGCTTCCCAAACTTGACCAGCCTGGCAACCTACGCGAGCGCCCAAACACGCACAGTGACTCCGGCGCTCCCTGATTCCCAGCGCTCCCAGACCTTACAGGGACGCTTGATTGAGGGCGCCAGCGGCTCTCCAGGACCAGGCCTGGGCCACTCCCCAGCCCAAGCCAGGGTCCGCAGCCTGAGCCCCACCCAGTCCCCGGCTGGGGAGGGGCGCACTTGTTTCTAGATGCTCCGGAGTGGGTGGGCTAGATGAAAGGTTGGAGCCGCCCAGGTTGCTGGGTTCTAGTCTCGAAGATGAGGGGGTGGGCGGCATGCCAAGGACCTCCTCCCAATCCATGGCCCTTCTGAAGGTCTGGCCACTTCCAGTGCGCGGTACAGTAGCGGTTCCCCTTCACAAGCAGTCTCCTTTAAGAAGAGGCGCGCGCGTATGTGTGTGGAGTTGTGTGTGTGCTCATGTGTAGATATATGTGTGTGTGTGTGCGCGCTCGCGCGCTGGTGTGTGTGCGCGAGTGTGTGTGTGTGTGTATGTGTGTGTGTGTGTGTGTGTGCGCGCGCGCGCGCGCGCTGAGGGCCGGAGAGTCAGGCAGACCCTGGGAAGGAGGAGTTATGTAGATTACGGATGAACATTCTGGAGGGGAGCGAGGAGAGGAGGGAAGGAGAAGCAAAGGCGAGAAGCGAGGAGCGGCGAAGACCCTTCCCGCAGAAACAGGAGGCGGCAGCGGCGGCGGCGGAGGAGTGGGCGGTGGAGGAGGAGGAGGAGAAGGAGGAGGAGGAGGACGAGGACGCACGGGCTGGAGGCGGCGGCGGCGGCGGCGGCGGCTGCTGCTGCGGCTGCGACTCGGCGCTTTGAGCCGGAACCGCCGGTGAACTTGGGCGCCACGTTCCCGGTGACGGGCCCCCGAGGATGGTGAATGCAGGCTGCTGCTGACCCTGCCTCCGCCGCCGTTTCTCGGAGACTGCTGAGTGCTGGGCCCTCAGTCTCCTCCCCTTGCCCGGCTGTGGGTGAACCTGCAGGCTCCTTACCCACCCTGAGGACTTTTTTTTGAAAGGAAACCAGGGAGGGAGGGAGAGAGAGAAAACGAAGGGGAGCTCGTCCATCCATTGAAGCACAGTTCACTATGATCTTACTCACATTCAATACTGGAAGACGGTTGGATTTCGTGCATCATTCGGGGGTATTTTTCTTGCAAACCTTGCTTTGGATTTTATGTGCTACCGTCTGCGGAACGGAGCAGTATTTCAATGTGGAGGTAAGAGTATGAGAGCTTTCTTCCTTCTCGCTTGCCTGGGCAGCTCCCTGAAACATTTCGTTCACTCCTGGGATCTGGTCAGAGCCGCCTGGGTCTCTACACATTGTTTCCTTTGCAGCCGCCGAGACCCTGGTTGAGTTTCCCTGTGTCTTAGGTGATGGATGCGCGCGAGACTGAGAATCCGTTATCCCCAGCAGCACAAAGCACGATGCTGCGCGCTCAGAGATACATTTGTAGCCGGTCCGTGCTTGTCACCCAGGGAAGAGGCGAAGTCCTACATATAGCAAACGTGTGGCTTTAAAAAAAGCAGTTTGAGTGTATGATGAATAAACTGTTCAGAAATACAGAATTCATTGCTTGGCATCATGTGCTTCCTTGGTATTGTTCCTGAAATCTTTCTCCCCGTGTTCTGTGCCTAACAAAGGAGGTTAAAAATCAAAGAATCTAGAGGAGAGCGTGGGAATACTTGATATGTTTAATAACATTACTTTGTGATAAAACACTTGACTAGACAGTCTTTTTCTCATTTAGACATAACTTAATACACTGCAGCTAGATCTGACTACAGACAACATGAAATCCATCTCTTTTAAAGTGTCTTCTCTTCCCCTCCCCCGCCAACCTAAAATAAAACGTGGCCCAATGTAATAGTTGCGAGGTGTGTTTTTAATCTGATTTCACACTCCCCTGGCAACACTGAGAGGTTTTAGTCTGTCATTTGCTTTACTTTGATAGCTTTGGGAACAGACAGACATAAAGCAGAAGGGAACTTGAGGATAAGGACTTGTCAGACCTCTGCCAAAGTACTCTTCCTGTCATCAACTCAGCACTAAAGCCAGTAATGTGCAGTAAATCAATGAAAGTGTGTATACACCTGGGCTCTAACTCCAGTTTATAACATACACAGTGGAATACAAAGACAGAAGGTTTTAGTAAAATATACTCCTTTTGATGAAATCTTCTGTCTTCTGACATCTCAAAAGAATTTCAATTAAATCTCTGAAGAATAATGTGATTTTTAAAACATTGTTGATTCTTTAAAGCTTACTGTCATTTTGCTGGGAGTGTGTGTTTACACAATAGCAGGACCTGTTGCACAGCGTTTAAACATGTTTCATGTAACAAATTTATATACAAAGTGTGCATAATAAAGGCCATGTGTGAGGCCATATTCTGAATATAACTGTTTATATAAACTGTTCTTAGGACTCCATGTAATAAGTGATGGTTGGTAGAGAAAGTATTTGAAAAAGTAAGAGCCATTATCAAGAGTTAAAAAAGTTTACAGATGTTAGTATGATTGTATTACACAAAAACACCATTTTGAAAACCAGAACTGTTTAACCTTTTGAAAAATACAACTTTGGTTTTCTGAATAAAAAGAGAGATGCAAAGGGGCCGAAAGTCCAGACTTCTCTTGATAGCAAATTTGAACTTTTAGAGTTCTATGCCACGGATGGATTTTTCTATCTAATACTAAAAATCAAAAGATGTTTTAATATTGAAATGAAGGAGTAATTAGTTCATAGACTGAAGGAATAAAATGGCAAGCTGTTGTTTATATTGTAAGCGAAGGGACTTCAGTTTGATGGTAGTAAAGTGATGGTGGTAAGGTGGGGCATGGGGAAGGTGGGTAAAAGTAAGTGCTTGGTTTTATTTTGCTCACTATGAAGCAGAAGGGAAAGTCTGGATTGATGGCTACTTGCTTTGGTAAAGTCTTAGATTTGCTTTCAGAGATTGTTGGGATAGCATCAGTGTTTGGATGATTATTAGGTTTTCTTTTTGAGACTAGACATACATTTTATTGTATTTCTTTATAGTTTGAATCCCTCAGTTCAATCAGATATTATTATGCAAGAAAAGTTGATTTTACTCAAAAAGAGATTTCACTTCAAATATACATGATCCCTTCTTTAATATGTATGTGAAAAAAATGGTTCATGGAAAAAGAGTTATTTTTTTATAGTATTTAAGTTATGTCATCCATATTTATTACACGATGCAAATATTTAATTATGAATGATAAGGGGCTAGTGCCATTTGAGACCTTACAAACCTTCTTTGTTACAATGGAGATTTCCTAATGACTTAGATTAGATTATGCTTCATAGTTTGTATTATTTCCAATTAGTTTTTTTAAGCACTTGAGCATATCCTTAGTTGGGTTTATGTACTTCCTTATGTGTAATGATAACCTCTATCTTTCTCTTTTTAATCATAAGAGTAGCTGCTTGTTAATTCAACATACTCTGAAGAACATGGAATGACAGGATATTTTCTGACATGAATTTCTGCCTGATTCACCTTTATTAGATATTTCTTTTTGGTAGGAAGCTCTAATAGGAAGAATATCTATCACATATTCTCCAGAAAAGCACTTATACTGTGTTCTTCATTCTTGGTTGCAAAACATACACTGGGAATGCTTATTTGATTGATTCTCAAGGACAGTCTTAAAATAAACAGTAATGGTATCAATCATGCATGAAGCTCACATGATCATAAATTTTTTTTTCCAATAAGCACACCAAGTTATTATAGTTGGAACAAAGCTTCTGAGAGATGCTTTTTATGCTGACAGCTGAGATTACAATATTTTATTCCTCACTGAACTTCACAATTGGTGGGACCCTTCTAATTTTCATCCCTATAATTTAAGGTTCAAAAACATTTTCCTCTTGGAGGTGTGGGCATTGAGTAGAAATATTCATGTTAACTCTTTCCTACCTTATTCTTAAGAATATAAGCATTTGTAATTTTCAGTTATCAGAATAGGAGCTATTTTTTAATATGCTGATGAAAGCTTGTTATAGAAAAAGAGTACATTTTGTTTATTTTTGTTTTTAAGAAGCAAAAAGAAATATCTCAACAGCTAAGAAAGGGTCAGACACTACCAGAAGTAGTATAGAAGAGATTCAATTCATTCTTCTCCTTATATGTTTTAGGAAGAACACTATTTTTAATGCCAAATTTTCAGCGTATATTTGTTTAAAGATTTTTATACTCTATAGGATGCATTTTTGGGGAATGGGCCTTTCGGTGTGTAGTCATTACCATGACATTAACATTAACTAAAAGTCAAAGACTGCTATCATTGGACAGCAGTCTGAATCAGAAGTGTTCATTGGTCAGATGACGCTAAATTGTTAACAAAAAATCAGGATTGAATCTCTGTGCTCTAAAAAATCATATTGTCTCTAAAATAATGGTCTTCTTAGAGGAATTTCCATGATCCTGGAGCTCTTTATTTTTTAATTTTTGTGGGGTTTTTGGACATTGCAAGCATTATAGTTATGAAATTTGAGATAGACTATAGTTCATGAGGGGCACCTAGGTGGCTCAATGGGTTGTGTCCAACTCTTGGTCTCAGCCCAAGTCCTGATCTCAGGGTCCCAAATTTGAGCCCCACATTGGGATCCACTCTGGGCATGGAGCCTAGTTTAAAAAAAAAAAAAATATATATATATATATATATATATATATATGTATATATATATAGTTCATGAGGATAGTAACATTCATCATCACCTTTGATAGTTTGCCAAATGTTAAATATATGAGTAACATATTCCTTATTGTTTCTTAAAGTATCACACACATTTCTAATGAGAAAAATTATTTTAAGCCAATTTAATGGTAAAATAAAAATGTGATATTCTGAATGATGCCCATATCAAAGCATAAGAAGATGATTACTTTTTTGTGACAAAAATTCTTGATAAAGCAAAAATTGATTTTGTTGTTTTTCATTCACAAAAGAAGAGAGATTTTAGATTTTTTAAAGACGATATTTCATGACAAATACTATGTATCATGAGTGTAACCATTTCCTACCTTGCAGTATGTTTCTTTAACTGGTTTCATATTTTATTCACCTTTATCAGGTTTATCTGAATCTACTTGAAAGTCAGAATAATCAACATGCCTTATTTCATTGGCTCATGGAAGGTTGCTGACACTGATCTGGTCAGCCCCCTTGAGTAAGGGACTGTTTTGATTACATCCCATAATTCTCAGTGTAGCAGTTTTTACTGGGCAGGAACAGGGGCTGTGTGACTGATTCATGAAGGTTTTTATTTACTGCAAATTCCCAGCTTTTCAAGACATCCCAGGTGTGCTGGCCGTTTGGAATGCTCATAAGGACCAAAAATTATGACCGGGAGACCAGAAGACTCAGTAGCTCTCAGGTTCTCCTGTGTGTCCCTTGATGTTTTTCTCTGTTCGGAGTTGCCTGGTCAAATTCCCCAATCTAGGATTATTCGTGAAACTCTTGCAGGTGAGCGTAGGACAGCAAGGGAGATTGTCTCTTACTACCCCTGAAAAAATTACAAAGAACAATTTTCTAAGTCTATTCTTTCCTATAGAGTTGGGTTTCCTCTCTCAGGGTCTTCTTCCCCATCAAGTAAGGATAGTGTTGGATTCAGTAACAGCTTTTTTAATCTCTGGAGTCAGGTTAAAAGTGATCTAAAGTTTTTACTTTTTCTTATTCATGCTATTTTAGGTTATGAACATAAAATTTTAAGGTTCTTGTTTAGTGGTATAATTCTTTTCTCTGAAGTTGCATTAATCAATTATTTTATGTCAATTTATTTTACTGCCTGACCTCCCCAACTACTCAAAATGTACCTGTTTAGAATATTTTGTAAATGGCCATTTGGAATTATTTTAGGACCAAAAAAAAAAAAAAGCCATTGGACATTTAAATCAATTACTTAAACTGTTCAATGTCAAAAGGAAAAGATTTCGTTATGCTCCTTCAGGAAATTTCTGATCCTTCAGCATGAATATGCAAATTGGAAAGTCACTTTTCATGTTACTTTCTGTCACAATTTAAGTATCTGTGAATATAATTACATCCATCAAATTGTTTTTTATTATATGGAGTAATATAATGATTAAGATCACATATTCTGGCTCCAGATCGCTGGATTCTAATCCCACCTCTTTTACTTGCGAAGTTAATAATGGACAGTTCATTAATCTCTGGGGCTTACTGTATG